ATTACAACTATTATCGTTCTGTTACTATTTGGAGCACGAAAAAAATAAACTTGAATTTTTTCTTCTTTGTTTTTTTTTTGCTTGTACTATATGCAAAATTCAAGCTAAAAGTTAATGGCTGCCTTGATTTTTTTTTCTTTTTTAATTATCTGATTCTGTTTATGTACTCTGAAATTAATAGAACTAAAACTTGAAAACAGAAATTTTTACTGAAAGAAAAATTGATAGTCTGTGAATAAAGCTAATTTTTTTTCCACTTTTTTTTTTCATTTTTTTTTTGGCCTTTGAATGATTGCTGCTAAGTGCGCAAATTTGTATGGCATAGTAATATAGTGTTCAATAATTAATGCTTTTGTGGGCTTAATCGGTTATGCCTGTTATTCTAACAACAATTCTCCTTCCCATCAAAAAAAGAAAAAAGGAAATCAAAACCGAAAATTGGATGAAGAAAAAAAATTGTACATGTGAACGCCAAAAAAAAAAAAAGATAATGTTAATAAACTAAACTGTATTCATTGGTGTGGTGAAGCATCTAATTAGTTTCTATATATTGTGCTATATTTCTATATGTACATTAGCTTCTGTAGTTATTGTCTCTGTAGCAAACATTAAACAGCTTTGTAATATTTGTTGTCATCAATTTTTTTTTTTCTTTGGCACTCACCTCTGTTCAAATTTATGATTATGTATAGAAAATATAATTAACAAATTTTCTGTGCAATTTTTCTTTGTTTTCTTTACTTTATCTTCTTCGTCTTTTGTAAGAAAAAAAAATGACAGTAAATTGTCAAAAGTCTTCGCAAAATGCAAAAAAAAAAAAAAAGTACTAACATATGGATATGTGTTACAGTAATTTTTTGGTAGATGTAATTGGTAGACATAAAATTTAGACAATAAATTTAAGCAACAGTTTATATGAAAGCTGTATTTCCAGGCGCTATCACAACCAGAAGACGAATCTATTCGACCACCCTTGTACACAACGTTCGACCAACGACACCTATGAACCAACCCTCATTAACAGCTGTTAAGGTAGATGTTCAAAAATACTTGGCAAGTAAATATATCAAAATGTTGTACTTGTTAGTTATCATTGACTGAAACAGATGTTAGTCAATGTTCTTGCTTCTTCTTTTTTCTGCTTTGTTTTTGCAAGAAACATTCTTGGAATACCTTTAAATAATCTATCTGTTTTAGGGGCCCGAAGGAAATGGCGATTTTCCTCGTACTGCATTAATCTCAATTGCATCGCTTTCTGTTATCATCATAATAGCGATTGTCGTTTTTTGTGTCTTTAGGTAAGTGCATCAACATTTTTTTTGCTATAGAAAATATCTCTGAATCTATTTGGTATTACGCTGTTAAAGTAGATCTTCAAAAAATTTGAGAAATTTCAAGGTTTAGGTTTAAATTTATCATGTTTTTAGCTATTGGCTATTTTTCAGTTAACATTGATATTAAACAATTGATTATCTTGAACAATCTATATACGGCAATGATTGATTATCATAATTTAGGTGCAGACAAAGTGGTCCATCACCGGAACAGTACCCGATGGTCTGTAACGGTAAACAGGCTCGATATACGCCAATACCGACGGAAATGTCGCCACAGGTAGTGCACAGTGATGTTAGTTCGCACTATGTTGCACAACCAATTAGCTCTTCATTCATCCAGACCCGTGTTAATCAACTAAACGGTTATCAGCCAATCAAAGGCACCGAAATGCCTAAGTTAAATGGCCTTGAGGGTAGTAAAAATGGTAATTCAAATGGTAAGAAGAAAGATTTTAAAGAATGGTATGTGTAAATGAAGCACAGTTATTTTGTTTCTCAATTTTGAGTGCATAGTTGTTTTCTCTGTTGTCCTTTTTTATCTCACTGTCATATTTACAATTTGCAATTATTTAGTTGTTTAAGGAGAAAAAACCGCGAAAAAAAAAGAAAGCAATATTTTTTTTGTTTACTTTTTTTTTTTTTTGTTTTTTGCATTTCCAAATTCGTCGTTAATGTATCTGTATGGTGATGAATGATGATTTAGTATATAATTTTGTAATTTATTTGTAATACCTTCTGAGGCTGTCGTTTATATTAACATTGATCTCTATTAATCAAAAACGTATTTTTTTTGTCTTATGTCCAAACACTCTATTTAGTTTTGACTAATGGTTAAATTATACGTATTGTGCGTTCGCTTGTTTATTTGTGCGTGTGCGTCTGTGTCTGTGTTTTGAGTGTGTGTTCAAATGTGTGTCTGAGTGCGACCGTGTGAAACTGTGTCTTGCGATGTATTTTACTGTTTGAAGTATGTTCACTTAATTATCAATAACTACAGCTATATGATGTTTGGTACTGTATGATCATTGTTATTCAAAAATGTTTGAACTTCAGCAGTTTCTGGCAGTTGCATTATTGAATAGTTGATGTGGATAAGACGATATAAATTACCTGTTCGTTTTTTTTATTTGTTATGTTTAATGAAATTGCAGCAAAAATTATCACCGATTTGATTGCTGTGATTTTGTTTGTTGTATAGCAAGAAATATTGGTTCAATATTTTGTTCCTTCCGCTTTACATTCTCAGTGGATCTCTGGTTGTACTCTATTTTAGAAGCACATAATTTTTGTTCTCCTTGTTGTTTGTTTTCTTTTTGAAACTGAAACTTTTTCTTTTTAAAGTAACAATGGTTCATTTTTTGTTATATTTGCAGTGTTAATATGACTTTTATTTTTATTACTATTACCATTATTACTACTGCTATTACTTTATTATCATTAAAATAATTACTTTAAAAAGCCGTTACGTTTTCACTTAATGTCTCAAAAAAAAGCTATAAATTTCATATGTAAATTAACAACTTGATTTTCTTTCCTTTTTTTTTTTTTTTTTTTTTTTTTTTTT